AAGGCAGGATGTCAGGAGACTACCCTGCATGTCGTACCTTTGGACCAAAATGTTACGTGCGGGGGATCCCGTAACAAAGTCTTAAGGACTGAGTGGGAGGAGCTGAGACTCCAGGAGGTGCCGTGGAGGGGACAGTGCTCCAGAACCTTGTCCATTTCAGTTCTGCTTTAATAAATGTACTCTGATATACACACATATATGTTTTTATATGTACATGTATATAGATGGCACACACACGTATGTCTGTGTGAGAGAAAGTAATCCTTGTAGGACTATGTATGAATGTGATTCCGTTCTGTCTTCAACAGCAGATTTCCCCTTCCATCATCCCCACCCTCACTTATCTTCAGTCTTTTCCTGTCTATTAGCTGCTACTGTCATTGCATACAAACATGCACGTCTCTCCCACATCCTCAAAAAAGTCCTCACTTGGTCCCGTCTGTCCTTACTAGTGATTATCTCATATCTCTCCAACCTTGTATGGCTAAATTCCTTGAGAAGGCCATCTATGTTCAATTCCTCTACCTCCTTTCCTCTTACTTTCATTTTAACTTTCCATAGTCTGACTTTTGACTTCATCATTCAAACAAAACTGCTCTCTCCAAAGTTATGAACAATTTCTGAATTGCCAAATCGAATGGCCTTTTTCCAATCTTTATTCTTGACCTTTCTGCAGCCATCACCCTCTTCTCTTTGATATTTTACTCTCTCCGGGTTTTCATGACATTATCCTCTCCTCACCACTCCTTCTCACTCTCCTTTGCCAGCATCTTTATTCAGGTCATTCCTGCTAACCGTGGGTGTTCCCAAGGGTCCTGTCCAAAGGATCCTCTTTTCTCCCTCTATATTATCTTGCTTGATCTTATCAACTCTCATGGATTCAATTATCATCTCTGAGTTGATGGTTCTCAGATCTAGTTATCTAGCTCCAACCTCACTGACCCTCCAGACTCTCATCTCCAACTGCAACCTCCAACTGGATGTCCCACAGACATCTTAAACTCCACACGTCCAAAACTAAACTCGTTCTCCCCAAACTTTCCCCTCTCCCTAACTTCCCTATTACTGCCTAGGGCACCCCCAGGCGTCCTGGTCCTCCAAGCTGAAAACCTAGGTGTCATCATCACCTCCTCATTCTCTCCCTACCTCTCCCTACCCCTTTTCCAACCTGTTGCCATGGCCTGTCGATTTCCTCTTCATAACATCTCTTCTACATGCCCCCTTCTATCCTCTGACATTGTCACCATCCTAGTGCAGGCCCTCATCCCCTTATGCCTGGACCACTGATGTTTCCCCACTCCAGTACATCCCCCATTCAACTGCCAGAGTGATCTTCCCAAAGCTCAGGTCTGACCATGTCACTCTCCTATTTCATTAATACTAATAATAATATTTTTATAGTACTTACTCTGTACCAGGAACATCGCTAAGCACCTTACAAGTTACGTCATTTGATCCTCATAAAAACCCTGAGAGGTAGGTGATTTATTATCCCCATGTTACAGATGAGGGAACTGAGGCAAACAGAGGTTAAGTGACTTGCCCGGTAGTAAGTATCTGAGGCTGGATTTGTGAAGTCAGGTCTTCCTAACTCCAGGCCTGATGCTCTGTCTTTTTTGGCAGGGTCAGGGAGGGGGCAATGACAATTTTTTTAGTATTTTATTTTTCCCCAGTTACATGTAAAAACAATTTTTAACATTTGCTTTTTAAACTTTTAAACTTTTTTTAAACTTCCAAATTTTCTCCCTTCCTCCCTCCCCACCCCCCACACCCACTGAGAAGGCAAGCAATTTGATATAGATTATACATGTGTAGTCATGTAAAACACGTCCATGATAGTCATGCTGTGAAAGAAAACATAGACAAAAAAAAAAACCTCAAGAAAAATAAGATGAAAAAAAGTTTTGGGGCAGCTAGGTGGCACAGTGGATAGAGCACCAGTCCTGAATTCAGGAGGACCTGAGTTCAAATCAGGCCTCAGACCAAACACTTGACACTTACTACCTGTGTGACCCTGGGCAAGTCACTTAATCCCGATTGCCTTAAAAAAAAAAGTTGCTTCAATCTGTATTCAGACACCATCAGTTTTTTCTCTGGGGATGAATAGCATTTTTCATCATAAGTCTTTCAGAGTCATCTTGGATCGTTGTATTGCAGAGAATAGCTAAGTCATTCACAGCTGATCATCTTACAATATTGCTGTTACTTTGTACTTAGTCCATTTCATTTTGCATCAGTCCACGTTAAGTCCAGGTTTTTCTGAAATCATCCTGCTCATCATTTCTTATAGTACAATAGTATTCCAGCATAATCACATACCACAACTTGTTCAGCCATTCTCCAATGGATGGGCATCCCCTCGGTTTCTAATTCTTTATCCCTAGAAAAGAGCTGCTATAAATATTTTTGTACACATAGGTCCTTTTCCTTTTTTTTTTTTAATCTCTTTTGGGATACAGACCTAGTAGTGGTATTGCTAGGTTAAAGGGTATGCCTGGTTTTATAGCCCTTTGGGCATAGTTCCAAATTGCTCTCCAGAACAGTTGGATCAGTTCACAACTCCCCTGGTGCTTTATCTACTGTGCCACCTCAATAAACTCCAGTTTTATCTCTATCTCCTACAGGATCAAATATAAAAGTCCTTAATAAACTTGTCCTCCTGCACACACATCAGTCGGTCTTCTTACACATTACATCACTCTCCATCATGGGCCCTGAGATCCAGGGACACTGGCCTCCTTACTCTTTCTTGAACAAGATGACTCCATCTTGGGATCTAGGTGGCGCAGTAGATAGAGCACCAGCCCTGGAGTCAGGAGGACCTGAGTTCAAATCCGACCTTAGACACTTGATACTTAACTAGCTGTGTGACCCTGGGCAAGTCACTTAACCCTACTGCCTAACAAAAAAACAAAAGATGACTCCATCTCCTTATTCAGGGTATTTTCACTGGTTATCTTCACTGCATGGAATGCTTTCCCTCATCTCCACCTCCTGGCTTCCCTGGTTTCTGTTTAGTCCCAACCCTTCCTAATTCTAGTGCCTTCTCTCTGTTGGTTATTTCCAACTTAACCTGTACGTATCTTGTTTGTACGTGGTTGTTGGCATATGATCTCTCCCATTTGATTGTGCGCTCCTTGAGGGCAGGGACTGTTTTTTTACCTTTCTATACAGAGCAGACCCTTAATAAATGTTTGTTGACTGACCAGCTGATTAGAATCTCAATTGGATAGGGGCCAAACTATGAGGTATTTATGAATTATCACTTAAGTTATTCACATCCCTAGATAGTTACTGGAAAAGCTAAGGATGGCAAAAATTAGGGATCTCATGATTCTATGGGGAGCAAGGTGGTATAACTCAAGCTTTGAGCACTCTCTACTGGCTTCATCTAGATATAGCTAACCACCAATGATACAGGTTTGTTCACTGAAGTCATCCAATGACTTCAAAGCCCTCTTGCACAAGTTTAGGAGAATCTAGAGTACCTAGATCATAGGAAATAGGTCATCAGTGAACCTCTAGAAAAGGAAAGGTGATTATAATAGCCAGCATAGCTTCACCAAGAACAGGCCATGCTCTGTGGGTGTGGAATATTGTATATACTCTCAAATTGCTGGTTTTGCTGAATTATTATTTTTTCCTTTTTCTTTTTTAATTGCTGGTTCAAAAGGATGGCTCACTAGGTAGGGCAGTATCACACACACATAGATATGTATAGGTGTATATATGTATGTGTTGGGCATATAGGTGTATATACACTTATATTTAGAAATGAAAATTATATAAGAAACAAAGTGATCAATAAAATATGATTTTAAAAGAACAGTTTTTGTCAGACTAACTTTATTTCCTTTTTTGAAAAGAATTACTAAACTATAGATCAGGAAAATGCTGTAGCTTTAGTTTAACCTATATTTTAGGAAAGTATTTGACAAGAGTATATCCTGCTATTCTCTTGTGGAAAAGATGGAGAGATGTGCTTATTCATTGATAACACAAGTAAATGGATTTGGACCTGGCAGAATGGCTGTACTCAAAGTAGTTAATTTTTTTTTTATGCAAAGAAGAGTGCCAGGGGAAGTTGTCTCTCCCTTTGAAAGCTACTGAGTGAGTGGCTCTTCCTGGCTCAGTGTCCACACTAATTTGACCCATCACATGGCCCAGGGGAAGCATATTCCTTAGCAAACAGCTGAAATCCTTATCTCACATGTTGCCGTGGGGTATGTTCCAGTCTATTACACATATTTAATGATATATGTAATACATGTGACATGAACACAAGGCAGTTGGGGGATGGGAGGTGGGAGTGCGGGGAGGAGCACTAGAACTGGAGGGATCAGGAAAGGCTTCATGTGGAAGATGGTGATTGAGCTGCATCTTAAAGAAAACCAGGAATTCCCAGAGGTAGGAGTAAAAACGGACTGGATTCTAAGCATTGAAGCTAGCCAACCAGTGCAAGGCATGAAGAGACAGGCCATGGAGCTCAGAACATGCAGTAGGCTAGATTGGGGCAATGGAGGTGGGGGAGAGAATTAATATGTGAAAAGGAAGATCTAGAAAGGGGGGGGTCAGGTTGTGAAGAGATTTAAATGCCAAAGAATTTTATATTTGATTCTACAAGGGAATAGAGAGTTTATTAAGCATAAGTGTGGTATCAAATCTGTGCTTTAGGAAAATCATTTTGAGGGCTATACGGAAGGTGAAGTGGAGTTGGGGAAGAGACCTGAGGCATGGATGCTACATTGGCTAGTGAGCTGGAAAGACAGCTAGGTGGTGCAGTGCATGGAGCTAGGTTCTTGGAGTCAGAAACACCCAAGTTCAAATCTAGCCTCCAACACTCACTAGTTGTGTAACCTTGGGCAAGTTACCTAACCTCTGGTTATCTTTATCTGTAAAATGGGGATAATAACAGCCTCTACCTCCCAGGGTTTTTGTGAGTATCAAATGAGATAATATTTATAAAGTGCTTTACAAATCTTAAAGCACTATAAAAATGATAGCTATTATTATAATAATTATTAAAGACACTTCCCCTCATTGGGAGGTCTTCAGAGGTTGGATGACCCTGTGTCAGCAAGGTTGTTGAAGGGACTATTGATCAGGTACAGATCTCTTCCACAAGATCTTGGGAAAGATCTGACTCCTATCCTCATGAATTTTACAATCTCACAGAGGGATAACACGAACCAAATTATTATACAAGATTACTTTGCTTTCTAGCCTAACTTCTGCTTCTGACTTCCTTATTTCCGTCAATGACACCATCTTGTAGTCTTCTGCTTACTCAGGCCGCCTAATATAGGGAAGTAGTTGGAAATATGGAAGTTATACAAAGTGGAGTCATCTTGTAGAGCACTTTGAATGCCAAGGTAAAGACTCTGGATTTTATCCTGTAAGCATAAGCGGGTCCGTCAGTCATGTCCTCCCAGATCATTGAGTATAAGTAAGAGAGAAGCTGAAAACCACATTTGTTGCCCATAGCCCATGGGAAAAGGAATGAAGGAAAGGGATGTCCCCTCTCTATCTCAGGTTCGGGTACTAGAAGCCAGGGAAAATAAGGAAGATCAGTTTCCCAGCTCACCATTCCAAGAGAAGTCATAAGAGTTGGTAGTCTCAGGAATTCAGGAATCTTCCCTCCTCTGAGCTCACTCCTGTCTTCCTCATGTAATCCCAGAAACTCAAGGCCAGTGGAAGGATGCCAAGATGCAAACTGTGGACCTTTGCATGCAGATTACGTCTCCCCTTTTCTGGCGCATGGTTTCTTGTCCCCAAAGCACCTATGCTGTCCCCTCTCTGTCCTAGAGGCAATCAGGGCAATCTTGCTTCTGATGGAGTATCTCACAAATGTTTCTCTCTTTCTCTCTGTGGAAGACCTCCTGAGCTCCAGAGTCTTCAGAAAGATGAAAAGAGGGGAATGCAAGAGTACTAACTACAGAAGTCACCTGGGTAAAGGAGCTAAGGGAAAACAGGTATATTTAATTCACTGTTGGTAGAGTTGCGAATTGGTCTAGCCATACTGGAAAGCACTTTAGAACTATGTCTGAAAGTAAAATTTTGTATATACCTTTTGGCCCCACAAAACCACATCTAGGCCTATACATCAAAGATATATAAAAAAAAAAGAGGAAAAGGACCCATTTGTATAAAAATATTCATAGCTCTTTTTGTGGTGGCAAAGAATTAGAAACTGAATGGATGTGCATCAATTGAGGGATGGCTGAGCACGTTATGGTAGGTGAATGTGATGGAGAAACCTGGGAAGGCTTGTATAAACTGATGCAGAGTGAAGTATGAAGAATTAGGAGAACAATTTACACAATAAGAACAATGTTGTAAAGATAAACAACTTTGAAAGACTTAGGAACTCTGATCAACACAATGACCAGCCATGATTCTGAAGACTCATGATGAAACATGCTAGCCACTTCCAGATAGAGAGCAGATGGACTTAGAGAACAGATGGAGACATTCTAAAAAATACATATGGCCAATGCAGGAATTTGTTTGGTTTGACTATACATGTTGATAACAAGGGTTTTGTTTTTCTTGTTTTCTCAATGCAGGAGGAGTGTGTTTGGGTGGTAGGAAGAAAGAACATGGAAATGAAAATGAAATTGACTTAGAAAAAAAAACTTCACCAAAGTGGTATTTTAGGAAGATTAATCCTGTAGCTGTGTACAAGGTATAGTAAAGGAGAGATACTGGAGGTAAAGAGTTGGTTAGATTAGTGTAATACAGTGGGAAAAAATACTGGAAGCAGTATCAAAAGACCTAGTTTTAAATTCCAGCTCTGCCATTTACAATCTTTGTGATTTTTTGGTGAAGTTATTTAACCTCTTTGGGTCTCAGAGGGTTGAACTATATTATGTTCCAGCACAAAATCTATGACCCTAAATGATAAGTGCATTAGAGAGGTTCAAAACAAACTGAGTGATCTGTGGGTACCAGGGGAAAATCTTCCTGACTAGTGGGATTGGGGAAGGCTTACCTGGAAAGAAGCTTTAAAAGCTGGGTGGAAAGTAATCAAGCAAATACAGGAAGGGAGAACATTTCAGGCCTAGGGAATATCGTGAACAAAGCCAGGATGGCAGATAGGAAATTAAGCTATCCACTAAGGCTGGAGTGTAAAGTATGAAAGTGCAAAAGACAGGAAGAAAAGTCTAAAAAGATATAGTGGTGCTAGCTTTGAATTGTGGCAGGCCTTGAATGCCAGATATAATTTGTGTGGACTGGCTGTGCCACTTTGTGTGTAGACTATGACACCTGGGGCACTGCATTTGGACTCCAAAGCATAAGCAGTTCAAATTGGCTTGTACCTGACCTTCCTTAAGCCTATAGAAAGGCAGGGGGTCACTGTATTATCATCTGAGAGTGTAATATGCCTGAGTTGACCACCAGGTGGCATTCTATTCCAGTCACCAACCAAGTGGTCTCGTAGTCTTTCTGACAAATGTCTAAGAACTTCTTACACTACTGTGTCAAGAGGGTTCTGATCAGTTGAGCAGTTTAAAACCCGTGTAGGCTGGGTTTAGCATTGAAATTAGTGAACATTATGCAATGTTGGTCAAAATAATTAAAAATAGGAAATCTATGGCTCCTCCACTACTGTGTATCTCTGTCAAAATAATCCCACATTTATAGGGCACAGGTATTCAGCATGCTGCAGCCACATAGTTTATTAAACACAGAAAAAAAAGAAAGAAAACAAATGGCTGAAGTTTCTACATGGGACCTTCTGCCTAACCATCCTCCAAAATTCTCCTTGTATCCATAGGTCATAGAAAGGGAATAAGAAGAGAAATTAGGGGAAGCTTGAGGTTCCAAGAAAGGAGCCATCTTCCCTTCTGTCTACAGCATCTGCTGTTTCCAATAGCTGCCAGTCCCTGCTGCTTTGGACCTGCCTCTCCTGTGCTCATCTTTACCATATGTCTTGAAGTGCTGTGAATTTGGGGAGCATTATGGAGCAAGACTTGGCTCCTCCTCTTCTAGCCCTAGCCATCAGCATAGTCTTCTGCTTTTGAGGCGTCTGCTACACCCCAACATCCCCAACCTCCCAAAGGTATGTCTCTTGCCAGCATTTTGATTAGCACCTTGGCCCTAAGCCAGCCACTGAGTGACCCAGTTGTTAGCATTTATAGAGCACTTTAGGGTGTGCAAAGCACTTTACCTTTGCTACCTCATTTGGATCTCACGACAACTTTGTGCTGTTATTTTACCCATTTTACAGATGAGGAAACTGAAGCTGATAGAGGTTAGGTTAAGTGATTTGCCAGTGGTTACGCAGTTAATCAGTGTTTAACTCAGATCTTCCTGGCTCCAAAGCCAGCAGTCCTCTAACTACTGTTCCACTAGGTTGCCAATTCCCCTCAAAGCAATGGGAAGTTAAATCAGAAAGAAAGGGAATTGATAAACTTAACCCTTCCCAGCAAAACAAAGATCTAAGACATCTCCTAAGGCCTCGGGATGGAAAATGCTATCCACATCCAAAGAAAAAACTATGGAATTTGAATGCAGATCGAAGCATACTATTTGCTAATTTTTTTTCCTCTTCTGTTGAGTTCTGTTTTCTCTTTCTGGTGGTTCCTCCTATTGGTTCTAATTTTTACTTACAACATCACTAATCTGAAAATATGTTTAATAAGGATGTGTGTATATATATATATCAGATTGTGCACTGTCTTGGGGAGGAAGGGGGAGAAAAATTTTAAACTCAAAAGTGTATGGAAGTGATTGTTGATAAATCAAAATAAAATAAAATCAAAATTTTTAAAAATTTAAATTTTTTTTTTAAAAAAAAGGGAATTACAGACACACGTCTACTACTTTAGGAATGGGGGGGGCTTTTCTTCTATTGTAAACACACTCAGGGCAGTTCCAGGGAGGGGCAAGGGCATGGAGATCATCAGAAATGTTTTTTTCCAGTTTATCTTTCTCAGAATCATCATCATCTGTCATTAGCAGCAACAACAATATACGGGAGTGTGGGGGAGGGGGAAGACACATAATGATAATTCAAATAGGTAACAGGAGTTAGCAGAGGTTAAGGAATTTCAGTTTTCTTTCTTAGGCAATTGGTAGCTGCTTGAAATTACTGAATTCAGGACAGGACCATATATGGATGATCATGCAGTATGCTCTCCCCAGAGCTGAACACAACACACTCATTTTGCAGATGGAAAAACTGAAGCCAAGAAGGGGGTGGTGACTTGCTCAAGGTCACAAAATCAGCTAGTGGCAGGTTAGGGACTCAGACCTAGGCTTTTGGATTCTTGGGCTTCAGAGAGGAGAAAACCACCTTATAATCAGAACTGGAGTAAAGGAGGAGAAAATGGGGGAAGATGCTAAGGTGTTTTGCACTGTAGAGAAAGAGAGAGGAAAGAACTCACTGCAAATAGTTTCTATTTTCTTAATCAATCAATCAATAAGGGGTGTATGGGTGCTCAAGAAGGACTAGCACCTCTGAGGTGAGGGCTTGCGAGCCCTTTTCAGGGCTGCTCATCCACCTTTGGTGTCCACCTGGCCTCAACTCTTACCTGTGGCTCCAAGAAGGTATGGCATGCATAGTGGCCACATCCTGGTTAAAACATTTGGCAGATAGACTAAACCAGATTGAGGGTGACCGACAGGCCTCCAACCCATCAGTAAATTAAGAGGGGTGTCTACCCCAAGCGTGTGAAGACTTCCCCTGGCATAATGAGTGGATGAAAACAATTTGTTCCAATATCCATGAAGGCAGCTGAAGTAGGTGCTGTGGAGTGCTTAGAGCTTGGTCAGACATTGAAGATGCCAAGGTCCATCCATTTCATCTTGGGCCATCCAAGAATGAGGCTGATGACTTTATGAAAATCTGCCTCACTTAAACCTGATTTATATACAAGTTGAGATATCACCCCCCCATGTCATTGATTCTCTTTGAAAACAAAGGACAAACAACAACAAACATTTATTAAGTGCTGGGGTTACAAAAAGAAGCAAAAGACTGTCTGCTGCCCTCAAGGAGTTTCTAATCTGATGAAGCAAACATACAAACAAATATATATAAAGCAACTTATATATGGGATAAATAAAAAATAATTAACAGAGGGAAGGCACTAGAGTTAAGAGAGGCGGGAAAGTCTTCCAGTAGAAGATGAGATTTTAGTTGGGACTTGAAGGAAGTCGGTGGTCAGAGAGGAGGAGGGAGAATGTTCCAGGTATAGAGGACAGTCAGAGAAAATGCTTGGCGGCAAGAGATGGAGTGTCTTGTTTGTGGAACGGCCAGGAGGCCAGTGTCAGTGGATTGAAGAGTATACGTCAGGGAGTAAGGTGTAAGAAGACTGGAAAGGTAGGTGAGGACTAGGTTATGAGGACTTTGAATGCCAAACAGAGCATTTTATATTTGATCCTGGAGGTAATAGCCCCTGGAGATTGGTGAATGGGGGGTGGGGTGGGGACACAGTCAGACCTTTGCTTTAGGAAATCACTTTAGTGGCTAAGTGAAGATAGATTGCAGGAGGGAGAGACTTGAGGCAGGCCCACCCACCAGCAGGCTATTGAAATAATCCAGGTATGAATGATGGAGGCAGCTAGGTGGTGCAGTGGATAGAGGGATAGACAGTGGATAGACTCCAGGCCTGGAGTCAGGAAGACTCATCTTCATGAGTTCATATCTGGCCTCAAACACACTGTGTGACCCTGGGGGCAAGTCACTTAACCCTGTTTGCCTCAGTTTCTTTGTCTGTAAAAAGAACTGGAGAAAGAAATGGCAAACCACTGCAGTGCGTTTCCCAAAAACACTCCAAATGGGATCATGAAGAATCAGACACAATTGAACAGCTGAGGTGATGAGGGCTCAATCCAGAGTGGTGACTGTGTCAGAGGAGAGAAGGAGGCATATTCCAGAGATGCTGCAAAGGCAAAATTGACAGGATATGGGGACTGAGAGATAGCGAGGAATTCTGGATGACTCCTAGGTTGTGAGCCTGAAAGACTGGGAGGATGGTGTTGCCCTCTACAGTAGTTATGAGGAATAGGGGGAGGAGAACCGCAGTGGTTAGGTAGAAAGATGAGTTCCACTTTGAACATACTGAGTTTAAGATGTCTACTGGGCAGCCAGTTCGAGATGTCTGAAAGGCAGATGGAGAAGTGAGATTGGAGGTCAGAAAAGAGATTGGGGCAGGAAAGGTAGATTTGAGAATAATCTGCATAGATGTGGCAATTAAATCCACTAAAGCCTCTGTAAAGTATGAGGCTAGGTTATTTGCTGACAGACGGAAGACATGTGTGGGACACGTGAGAGAAAAGTTTTGAAACACCTGCTGTGGGGAGGAGACAAAGACGGATGGGCTTGCGGCGTGGAGGCTCCGGTGGACCCTTCGGCGTGGGAGACACAGTAAGACCACAGGACCATAGGTTTGGAAATAGAAGGCATGGAGTCCAACCCAATGTTTTTACAGATGAGGAATTTCCTGCAGCTCTGTTCAGCAGCAGAGGAATAAAGAACGGAAGAGATCAGTGATGGGGGTAATTCAGGGTTGGGGTTTGGGGGCAAGAGATTCAAGATCAGAGGTCGGAATAAAGCCAGAACTGGGTTGATGGCCTGGGGGTGGAGATCGCAGGCTGGCACTAAAAGAGATGAGGTTGCAGGACTAAGACTCCCAACTCCAAGGGGCCAACTTCACCAGCATATGGCAGCTGCCGGAGAGACAAACACAAGCGGCAGCCAATGGTAGTTCGGTCCCCACTCGCATTCTTTGTCTCTGAGCGTCCAACCCGAGGCGCGAACCAGCTCACTCCTCCCCGTCCCACCCCTTTCCAGTCCCTCCCAGAGAGAGTCCGGACTTAAAGCACACAAGAGAAGGGGGAGGGGAGGCCGACAACAGGGGAGACAAGAATGGCAAGTAGGGTCACCAATGAGAAACAAGGCGGAGTCTGAAGCCGCTACAGGGGAACTACACCAATATGAGAGCTCCCCTACAAAACAGACCAATCGGTGGGCCGGGCGCATAGGCTGTAAAAAAATGACGAACAGGAATAATAGCCAATAGCTATGAAGGACGTGATGAGCGGAGGGGACCTAGACCAATGGGAACAGGTTGGTTAACCCAGGGCGGGGAAGAAGAGCCCAATCATCAAGACAGGTCCATGGCGGGGCGGGGCCAGGCCTAGCGGGCGCTTGTTGTTCTCGGGGTTGAGGGAGGCGGAGGCGGCTTCCTCTGTGTGTCGGTCTCTACCTGTGTTGCTATAGTCGGACGCTGAAGGCAGCCAGAGCCGGGTCGGCGGCGGGGCCATGTCGCGGAGATCGCCCGCGCAGGCGGGCGGGACCCAGAGGAGAAGGCTGTCGCTGCGAAGTTTTCCTCGGATACAGCGCGGCGCGAGCGGAGGCCGCAGCGTCGTAGCCCCCAGGGACTGAGGAGCCTCTCGGACCCCTGGATCTCCTGGTGCCCCGCAGACGGACGCCCCAGTCAGGTTGGTGTCGCCGACGCCTCAGTGCCTGTCTCCGGACTACAACTCCCAGCAGCCCCCACACCCTCCCTTCGCGCATTCCCTCGCCGCACTGCCTCTTGGGAGTTGTAGTTCCGGGGAGGCGGGGCTTGACCTGGGGGTGTGTCCGGCCTGGGTTCCGGGAGGGGTGAGCTGGGAGCGGGCTCCTGGGAGGCTCTAATTGCATTAGGTGCTAGCGTATGGAGCCTTCCCTTCCCTCTGGGGAGTCGAGGCCGGTACTGTGGAGATCTCCAAGTGCTTTAAGCAACCTGGCGTACCAATCCAGGTAAAGGAGACTCGGCCTTGTTCACTGGGGGAGGTGGGGGTGAGGGTGGGGGTATGGAGGCGTCTTGGGTTGGTTGGTGACCGACTCCCTCGGTTGCGGCTTTGGATTTTCCTTTCTCTCCCTTCCCCAGGGGCAGCAAGTGCCCAGGCCCTCAGGCCCTGCCTGCCCTTCTGCTGAGCCTCAAGAGGTTCATGGACAGCTTCCTATAGACTGCCCCCTCCCCCATCCTCTCCAGGCTGAGCAGCACCCTGGGGTGATAGACATATTCATGCACACACGTATATATATACATATACATAGACATGTATATGTATATATATACATGCTTACATATACACTAAGGGGAGGAAGGAGTGGCTGTCAAAGAGGTTTTGTAAGTGCTTGGAAATCATGGTGAAGCCTCCTCTTCCTTGCGAGAGAAAGAGATAGCCTAAACTGGACCTGAGCCCCACACCACAGCTTTCCTCTTGGGTAAGGGGGGATCTCCTCCCCTCCGTAATACCAGAGCCTTCTAATAGGAAAGGAACTGGGGTTCTAGTGTCTTAGGGTTTAGATATGGGAAAGGAGGTATGTTTTCCCCAGGTTGGCACTTGGCCTGCTGTTCTTTCCACAAGCTCTGGGCAAGGGCCAGGTCTCTGCTTGTTTACAGTTTCTCCGCTTACAAGGCAGGCATCTTGTGTGTATGGGGAGGGGAAAGTAAAAGGCTTGGAGGAGACCTAGGC